TTTTTAGGGACGTTATATGTTAAACAAAGTAAATAACTTTTATCTTAGAACTTAAGTCAGCACTTCGATAACCTCTTGTAATGTTTTGTTGCGACCATGACATCAAACAATGTGTCAAAGTAAGTCAAGGTAAGACTCCCAGACAGGGAAAACATGTTATCGTTCGGGGATAATTTCTCAGACATCCCAATGACGATAAATATGAAATAACTATTTGTTAATTAATGGGCCAAGGCTGTTTAATAGTGTACCAAAAAGTATTACAAACACAGTTCCGTGAAAGTATTTATAAGAAAATTAGATTTCGTTGACAGATGGGCGGGCCCTCGCGGTGGCCCTAACATGTGCCACTAATATGGCTCCTGGTTTGGCGTTATACCAAGTAAGTGAGTGAGTGAGTGGGGCTTTGCAAAGCTACAAAATAGACACCAAACAAAATAAGTTGCACAGAGATCAGGGATACAATCGATATCTCACAACATATGGTCCGTGTAAAGCTTCCTTGGTCAAGCACTAACAGCGGACGTACCAATCTCGCAGACGAAGTGCTGTTCCACGGAGCAAATGTAATCGTTCACCGGAGGATCAAAGTAACTTCGGATCTCCAGGCAGTCTTCTCTGCCGCCATAATTATCAGGCTGTGACTTAGACCAGTCCTGGGCCTTGATTGGGTCTCCGTTGATGTAGTTCCACACGCCTTCGTTGTACTGGTCGGTGCCGCCTATCCACACCCCGGGGCCCTCTGTGGTAAAGATAGATTGCTATTGAAATGTATATTGTACAGGTATCAGCAATATTCTTAGGATTGTTAAAGAGACGGAGGCACGGAGAGAAAATATATGACAGGAACATAACGTGAAGAAGGTTAGAATTTATATATGTGTTAATATATGTGTGTGTGTGTGTGTGTGTGTGTGTGTGCATTTATATATAAATGTGTGTATACTAATATATACATATATACATATATATATATATATATATATATATATATATATATATATATATATATATATATATATAAACATATATATATATATATATATATATAAACATATATATATATATATATATATATATATATATATATATATATATATAAAACGTACTTGTATTAGCGAAGACGTAGGTGTCAAGCGCCTTGACGTCAGAGGGCACAGCCAAGTCGCCGCCCATTTGCTGGCACTGCCGACGGGCCTCGTTCCATGACAGGGCCGTCGTGCTCAGATAGAAGCATTCCATTCCAATCCTGATGAAAGGTTTGGGACACGAGATTTCTGGAAATATTTAAAGCACATTAAACAATACGTAACGGCTAGAGTTTAACTAGAGTTTTAAAAAATACATCACTATATCACAATACCTAGAAATACCTAGAAAATATTCCTTTGTACATGTCTACACAGTCCAAACTACAACTGTATAAAAAGGAAGGGCTACATACAAGCCGGAGGGAAGGCAGGCCTCTCCCTCCCAGATGCCCTGGGATTTTAACTCCGTTATGTCGGTTTCTGCATTATATCATATTTACTTTGCATTAAATAATCACGAAAGGAGAGTGGGATAAAGCTCTAATGTTAAGGAAAGTGAATCTCCAGAGGTGCATCAGATCAACCATTGTCTTGGCACAAAGGAAATGTTCACTTCCTTCGTGGATTTAACGCTATTCCAAGACTGCTTATGCAACTTTTGTCCGTGGTCAAACTGAATAGAAAGACGCCACTGTGCTTATTGCATACTAGAAAGAATCAGTATTTTCAAGGGAAGCATGTTGGAGGATGAGACGACAGTTTTGGCATCTTCCTGGATTTCAATTGCAGGTCTGACATGGAAGATGATAGACCTCGCAGCTTGTTTCATCATTCAACAGATATTTTGTGCAAAGTTTTCTGACATGATCAAAATATAGAGGACCCATCGGGTACTTGAGACAACAGCAGTTCGTTTAGAGAGTAGACTAACAGAGAGGAGAATATTCGGCATAAAAGGATACCTTTACATAGCTTGAACAAGGACTAACAGCGAACGTACCAATCTCGCAGACAAAGTGCTGTTCCACGGAGCAAATGTAATCGTTCACCGGAGGATCAAAGTAACTTCGGATCTCCAGGCAGTCTTCGCCGCCCAAATTATCAGGCTGTGACTTAGACCAGTCCTGGGCCTTGATTGGGTCTCCGTTGATGTAGTTCCACACGCCTTCGTTGTACTGGTCGGTGCCGCCTATCCATACTCCGGGGCCCTCTGCAAATTATTATTATTATTATTTTATTTCTATTTTTTTTTTTTTTTTTTAGAAAATTGAATGCAAATCAAAGTTTGTAATTCCAAAGGGCAGTAGAGGAAAACAGAACATTCCAAAAAATTGCCTCTCCCTTTGTTTTTGCCACAAGTCTGGTTTTTTTTTTCTCTCTCTCTCTCTTCTTGTCAACTCCATTATTAAATTCATCTACGACATCAGTTTTACGAGCCCCGAACTCATCTGCTTTCAACGGACTTACCC